TTTTTTTTTTTTTTGGTTTTTCGAGACAGGGTTTCTCTGTGGTTTTGGAGCCTGTCCTGGAACTAGCTCTTGTAGACCAGGCTGGTCTCGAACTCACAGAGATCCTCCTGCCTCTGCCTCCCAAGTAAATAGCTGCTTTCTTGTATCAAGAAGAAACTTCAAGAAAAAATTAAACTGAGACTAATATAGCAAAATGAATGCTGGGCCTAGTATATATAAATAACATTGTCAAAAAGGTTTTAGAAAGCCTTGGTTGAGTCCTTAACACCCAGACAGTAATCATAATAGAGGTAATTTGTTCAAATAGGAGAATGTAAAGAATATAGATACTTCCTCCAGACTGCTTTATAGTAATTAATTTATTCAATAATATATAATAAAATATAAAGATAGAATCAATTTTACATCCGAAAAGCTTACTATAGATTGGTTCTCTATTATCTTTTTAAATATTTAAAATTTAGAAAACGATACATTTGAAATCTTCAGATGACTGATTCCCGGGATGATACCCTGGCATTCCACATGGCCCAATGTGAAAATACAGATGAGACTAAAGTAGCCCTCACCAGGACAAAGGAACAACAAAACAGCAGCTATCGTAGCAAATGCCAACTATGTTTACTTTAACTATTTTTAATTTAATTTTCACAATATAACAATTTTATAGATAAACCCTAGGTATAGGATAAAATAATTTGCTTAAGTTAAATATCTAGCTAATAACAGAACTGTTTTCTGTAGCTACTGGAGCAGTTAACGCTGCAGGGCCCATGCTGCATCTGTCCTTTCAGTTAACTCTCCAGGCAAGCAATGAGCTCATTGTCCTTTCCTCCTCGCTCCCACAAGAAAACCCCACGCACTAAAACATTTCTGTATATTTAAAACAAGCTATATCTCACAAATAGAAGAAAAAGCTACACTGCACATAAAATTTTAATAATGATTCACAGTATGGTTATGATTTTAAAGGAGGGTGATAAGGGAAGGCCAGTACTTCAGATAAAAGAGAAACTTGAGGGGCTGGAGAGATGGCTCAGTGGTTAAGAGCATTGCCTGCTCTTCCAGAGGTCCTGAGTTCAATTCCCAGCAACCACGTGGTGGCTCACAACCATCTGTAATGAGGTCTGGTGCCCTCTTCTGGCCTGCAGGCAGACACACAGACAGAATATTGTATACATAATAAATAAATAAATATTTTAAAAAAAAAGAAGAAACTTGAGAGTGGAATAAGGCTTTTTTAAGGCAAGGTGCAATTAAATCTCCCAGTTTTAACTCTCTTCCATCTTAGATAAACTGTCAACTTATCAGGATGAAATTTAATTTGCATATCTAGAGGTAAATTCTGTGATACCTGAAGTCATCGACAAGAATTCCAACTATATTGTCTGAAAAACTGTTGCTTGAGATAGGTTAACAACTGTCCTTCGCTGAGATATCTTCACAGCAAAGGTGGACTCAGCACTAACAAAACCAAAAAGCAAAGCAACGGTGAAGTTTTCCAGAGCATGGGTTCTTTTAATTCTGGTTACCTTCAATCTTTCTACAAAGCTATTATCTTTAAACCAATGAGATTCTATGAGACACAGAGGCTCAGAAAGGCACGTACAGCATGTAACCTATAAGTCAAGTCAGGTGTGGGACACACATCTGTAATGTAGTAGGTGGAAATGGGAGCAGAATAATGAGTAGTTTAAAGGTCCATCCTCAGCTACATAGCAAATCTGAGGCCAGTCTGAACCACATGACACACATAAACAACAACAAAGAGGCTGGAGAGATGGCTCTGTGGTTAAGAGCCCTGACTGCTCTTCCAGAGAACCTGGGTTTGGTTCCCAGCACCAACATGGCAGCTCACACACAGCCTTCAGTTCCAGGGGATCTGACACCATTCATCTTATGCTAAAGGGCCTTGTTGAATAGCCGGCCTGACCTAGACCTCACTACCCTACGTTAGTCCCCCAACCTCTGAAGTGCTAAGGTAGCTTATAAGCATAGACTACCACATGTAGCAAGGTATGCATTCTTTGAAGTAAATCCAGTAAAAAAAAAATTAGTATTTGATTAAAGAATAGTCATTCACATTTTCAAAAAGAGCCAGAATAAATTTCCCACTGTTAGCAGTAAACAATGTGCTTGAACAAAATATAATTAAAATAATTTTGTGTCTTTGAAAAATGCTACCTTCTTTGGAAGTAACAATAAATAACCCTTTCTCTGGAGACTTCCAGAGATTACCTTTAAAAGGTACACTATGGGATTACAGAGCTATTTATTCTTGCTAATTGAAGAGGCTCTATAGAGCAGATGGATAAACAGAACATTTTAGGTTATAGTGAACAGACTCACATTTCAAAAGTAGACTTTTTTTGCATTACATAAGCCTACTTTGTGGCAAATAAAATAGTCTGTCAGGGCAGAAGATAGAACCTCTTGTAACTGAAGGAGGGGATCCTATGAAAAAGCTGTCAATCAGCATGAGAAAGTTGTCTTATGAATGGACAGACCCAGATCACTGACTTAGTAACCAGCTTTTTCTTGAGACCATTTTTCTTCCAATAGTGTACATCTCGGAAGACATGGAAACAGACTGAAAATGTATACCCCCTCATGGGAAGTTGATGGCAGGTTTTTCATAGAAATACATCTTTACTTTTATTAAATAGATATAAGGAAAACTAAATTTTATACATGTTCTTTCAAGAATGTGCATATTTAAAAATATAAATAATCTAAATATACTTTAATACTATGTCACAATTTAATAATATCTAATGACTATGAAAGTTAGAACTTTACTAATACTTATGACAGCCAAATATACTTCTCCAAATGTATTTTAAATTATCATCATTGGGGACTGGAGAGATGGCTCAGTGGTTAAGAGCACTGCCTGCTCTTCCAAAGGTCCTGAGTTCAATTTCCAGCAACCACATGGTGGCTCACAACCATCTGTAATGAGGTCTGGCACCCTCTTCTGGCCTGCAGGTATACACACAGACAGACTATTGTATACATAATAATAAATAAATATTTAAATTATCATCATTGATAAGCAATACAAGTAAATACTACATACAGGACCTTACACCAGTACTGAAATGAATAGTATAAAAAGCATCAACTGTAGGCTTTTAACAGTGAAGTTTTTAAAAATACTCTTACTATCTAGTAAATGATATATTATTAAAACACATTGTTTTCCTGGTTTTTCAAGACAGGATTTCTCTGTGTAGCCCTGGCTGCCCTCTAACTCAGAGATCTAACTGCCTCTGCCTCCCTCCCAAGTGCTGGAATTAAAAGTGTGAGCCACCACGCCCGGCCAGCACAGGTATTTTTAAAGAATTTTTAAAATTAATTTATTCTTATTTTATGTACATTGGTGTTTTCCCTGAAGGTATGTCTGTGTGATGTCATTGCATCCCTGAAACAGAAGTTACAGAAAGTTGTGAGTTGTCACGTGGGTGCTGAGAATTGAACCCAGGTCTTCTGGAAGGGCAGCAGTGCTCTTAGCCACTAAGCCACCTCGCCAGCCCCAAAACATGGAATATTTTTAATATACTTAAAAACCTGCTACAGCTGGGCAGTGGTGGCGCATGTCTTTAATCCCAGCACTTGAGAGGCAGAGACAAGTGGATCTCTGTGAGTTAGAGGCCAGCCTGGGCTACAGAGTGACTTCCAGGACAGGCTCCAAAGCCACAGAGGAACCCTGTCTGGAAAAACAAAACAAAGCAAAACAAAACAAACAAAAAAACTGTTACATAACCTACTCTCATCTTTCCAAGGCTCTATGATCCTTTGTGGTCGCTCTTTTTCTTCTACTACTGTGTATCAACTCTGTGACAGTTTGTGTTCAGGTAGTAAGACTTAACTCCAACCCCATGAGTGAGAAAGAAATTCTGCATTATTCAAAAACAACAAAACTGAGTGTAATGTGATTTTATGGTGCTTCAAAGCAGCAACATTGGTCCCTTCCAGGGGCAGGATAGGTTACACAAGCAATGGGAGAAAAACAGGAACTGAGACTACAGACAGAGTTGTGGGAATATCTCAATAATGTTGCTTAGCATGAGCAAGGCCCTGGGCTCAGTCACCATCACCTAAATAAACAATAGATTAAAAACTGAATCAATCCCTGGAACTAAAGTTCCTGATGTTTGATTATGAGTCACTGTGATGGGTGATGAGAACTGATGTTCTTTGAAAGAGTATAGTGTGTGTTTATCTGCTGGGCCAACTCTAGTCCTATCATTCAAAACTTTAAGAGAAGTTTAGAAGATAGTAAAAAATGTAGTCATTATGTTTAGTTGTATGTAAAGATATAAGCCCTTATGAAAATAAGTATTTTCTGTTTTGTTACTTCTAAAATTAATAAGTTCTATACATATTAATTATATAAAATAAGTTGTTAGAAAAAAAACCCTAGAATCAAGCCGGGTGGTCCAAGTGGCACACATCTTTAATCCCAGGACTTAGAAAGCAGAGGCAGGAGGATCTCTGAGTTCAAGGCTAGCCTGGTAAACAACAAATTCTAGGACAGTCAGGGCTACACAAGAGAAACCTTATTGTCAGATAACGACAAAAAACAAACTAAACAACAAAAAAAAACCACCCTAGAATCAGATAGAATATAAAACAGGATTAGTAAAGGGAAAATGGGCAGGAGTGGTGGCACACACATTTAATCGCAGTATTGGAGACAGGAGCGTGTACAACTCTATGAGTTCAAGGCCAGCCTGGTTTACAGAGTGTATTCCAGGTAAATCAGGGCTACAGAAAGGAGACACAGAAAGAGGGGGATGGGGGATGAAGGGATAGGAGAGAGGAGAGGGCTGTAAAATTCATTTTAGTATGTGAATTCCAGACTGGAACCCACAGAAACAATCATTAAGATGACAAGACAGAAATAAACACAACATATTAAAGACTGACAGACTCTTAAAATGAAGGGCTACAAGGGGATTATGTGATATAAATACTAATGTAAAATACTAGAGGAAGCACACACCTTTAATCCCATTACTCAGGAGGCAGAGGCAGGTGAATCTCTGAATTTAAGGCCAACTTGGACTACAGAAGTGAATTCCAGGACAGCCTATCTCAGAAACCTTGTCTCAAAATCAAAAATCAAAACAAAACAAAACAAAACAAAACAACAACAACAACAACAACAAAAAAAAAAACCTAAAGGAGGTTCAGCAGTTAAAAGTTTTGGCTGTTTTTCCAGATGACCTAGGTTCAGTTACCAGCATCCACATGGCAGCTAACAACCAGAGGATCTGATGCCCTCTTCTGGCCTCTGTAGGCACCACACTTATATGGTACACAGTCAAAAAATAAAAATATAGAAATTAACATATAAAAAAATCTCAAATGCTTGAAAATTAGAATCCCTTTAAACACATTCAAAACACATTTAATGTGTTATAAATCTGATATAAATCCTTTACAACTAGATTATATAAATGTAGAGAGCTAAACCAGTATTTTAGCAACGCAGCATTTTCCAAACTGGTAGCAAATCAATTTTCTCAGCATCATGCAAACTTTTTACTATATACACAAAGGTTTTACTAGGTAACCAAGGAACTCTCTTAAATAACTAAATTATTCTGTGGTATATAAATTTCCTACATGGAAATTTAATTCTAGATTTAAAAAGAATAAAAGTCAACTTTGGTAAATGCCATATGACAGCTAGTATTTTCTGGAGATGATGCCTATGAATTATTCTAATTTTCAAAGGAAAATGTCGACATATAAAGTCCATTCTGTGCTCCAATATCAGTACAGTAAGAACACCCAGCACCCACCTCAGTATGTCTTTGATGTAGTGCATTATACTCCTTCTTCAGTTCTGCTTCTCTTTCTTCAAGTCTGCTAACTGCAATCAAGATACATATACTTAATCAAATATAAGAAATGTACTCTTACAAGTCAGTCTTTAAAATGTTGTGTGCTATCCAGAATCCTTAGCAACTTTACAGCCCAGTACTCCATGTGAAATTCTGCACAAAGTGACCTCATTTCATCATCCTCACACACCATCTTCAGAGAAGAGTGTAAAACACCAGACTGGTTCTCTAACACATACATGTCTATCACATCATCCTTAAAAAATGAATACCACACAAGTTTTAACCTTGTGTCAAATCCCAGATGGTTGATTTCAACCATTTTCAAATATCAAGTTCTTTGTTCAGTACTAGCAGGATGTCAACACCTCACTCTTATTCTCTGCTTTGAGTCTTCTTGATTTCAGGGACTCATCTTCTTTTACTTAGCTCCCTCTGCAGGTGGATTTTGTGAAGTGCACTGATGTGGAGCAGGCTCACAAAATGCTTTAAATAGCAAAACAAAAAGGAAAAAGCTTAGATTCTGACACATAAAATATTAGGATAGGACTTTAAAGGAGAGTGATAGCAAACAAGAGTGATTTGTAGCGGAGGGGTTTCAGGCAGCCCATGATAAAATGAACAACACTGGGCTGACCTTTAATGAGTTAGAAGCAGAGGGCAACTGAAGAAGCCTACCATGGCTAAGGGCAGAACAGCTACGGTGCTGGTGACATTGTCCAGACTCATTAAGTCTGCTGCAAAGTCAGGATTAATTGGAAATCTTCTCTTGTGTAAGGGTAAACTATGAGCTGCAACTATTAAGAGGTTCTGGTAATGTGCAGTTTGTGCCTACGAGGTACAAACACAACTACTGGGAACTCTCCTTCAAAAGCACATATACATTTTATATACCGTGTGCTTACATGTGAAGCACCAAATAAAGATCAATGTGCTGCCCCATTTTGGGTTTGTATATATTTGCCTGCCAGAATATTTGGAATGTCTTAGAAACGCATCATTATTTAAAAGAACTCCAACTCTGTGTTGTGATTTTTTTTTTTTTTTTTGTAACTTAAGTCTGTATGTCTCTGGCTCACTAAATTCACATTATGTTCCACAGTACTTGTGGAGTGCATCGTCTTACACCAAGCAGGTAATGATCACATCTCCTGTTCATTCTATAACATGGTCCAAAGCACTAGTAAGCTATTAATAATAATATAGGCATTAGGATAACACCAGTGATATTGAAACCTGACAATCTGTGATGCTGCTCATTAAAAAAAAAACAGGAAATTCACCCAAATTGTGGATATTTAGTAACAATTTCAAAGTATATATTTTTGAACAATTAATAGAAAAAAGTATAAGGGCATTTATTTATTCAATGGAGGCGACTCGGCAATTAAAAGCATTTGCTGCTCTTGCAGGGGACCCAGGTTCAGTTCTCAGCACCTCTACCTGGCACTAAGTCCAGCTTCAAGAAATCTGATGCCCTAATGAGGGATGAACTCAAGAGCTCTCTCTTCTCTCTCTCTCTCTCTCTCTCTCTCTCTCTCTCTCTCTCTCTCTCTCTCACACACACACACACAATATATTAAATATTAAAAAGAAGTTAAACACTGCCTACTACTTACTAACTAAGCTTTTTAAAAGTTAAGGAAATCCCAAGACTAACAGACAAAACAATAATTTTTAATTACTCATTTGCATCAATTCATATTCTCTTTTATATTTCTTATTTTTTTTAAAGAAAACCATCTTTTCTCATTTTATATGCCAAATCCATTTCCCACTCCTTCCCCTTTTCCTGCTCCATCTTCGTCCTCCTCCTATCCCCCACATCACCTTCTCAGAGAGGGTAAGTTTCCCATGAGGAGTCAACAAAGTCTAGCACATTGCTTTTTCTTTTATATTTTATTGCATTTATTTATCTTCTGTGTGTAGTGGAAGGGGTGGCATGTATCCCACAATAGTACAGAGATCAGAGGACAACCTGCTGCAATTGGTTCTCTTCTTCCACCATGTGGGTTCCCTGGAACTGAACTCAACTCAGGCTTGGTAAGCAAGTGCCTTACCAACTAAGCCAACTCACCAGCCCTGTTAATCAGTATTTTCTAGATAATGTGCAATAAAAAGAGTGAGATAGATACTAAGGCTAAAATAAAAGCCAAATATCATTCATAAACTTCCATTTCAAATGTATTTGAAAGTAGAGCCCCATTATTTTGTCAACCCATAATTTTTATATTAAGACTACAATAACATACTGCTTATAGTGTACGAGAACTGTCCTAAGAACCGGACATAAACTGATTTTATTCTCTCATAATGATGGAAGCATCAATATTACATTCAGTTTGGGGAGAAGAAGAATCTATAGCAATACAGCTAACTTACTAAAGGTCACAAAGGGGATTCTTTCCTAAGAAGAGTATAGGTACTATGCTATACTGCCTTTCAAGAAATGCTACTTTTAGACAAGCATGTTAGATCACACCTAGAATCCCAGCATTTGGGAGGTGAGGCAGGACATGTATTGTGAATTTGACATCAGCCTGGGTTACAGTGAATTCCAGGCCAAGCTGGGCTATATGCCCAGTCTTTTTTTTTTTAATTTATTTATTATGTATACTATATTCTGTCTGTGTGTATGCCTGCAGGCCAGAATGTGGTTGCTGGGAATTGAACTCAGGACCTTTGGAAGAACAGGCAATGCTCTTAACCTCCGAGCCATCTCTCCAGCCCAAGCCCAGTCTTGACAAAAGCGAGAGAAATACCCCTTTTAATCTGTTTTGTATGATGGAACCTACTTTTAAGATTTCCTTGGGGGGTGGGGCTGGAGAAATAGCTCAGTGGTTAAGAGCACTCCCGGCTCTTGTAAAGGACTCAGGTTCAGTCCCCAGCACCCACATGGTGGCTCACAACCTCTAACTCCAGTTCCTGGGGATCCAACATCCTCTCCTGTCCTCCACACGCACCAGGCACATGCATAGTACAAAGATTCACAAAAATGCAGGAAAGACACTCATACAAAAGAAAATAAAAATAATTTTGAAAAAAATTTCCACTGAGGAGAGGAGATGAGAATCAAGCAAAAGTCTCCTCTGTTCTTATGGGATAATCCAGTCCCAGACACTAGAGAAAGCATCAAACTGCCAAGTGAAAAAGCATGCTCAGCTTTATGAATCATCAGGAAGGATATCCTTGTTTGGAGATGGGTTGTCCCCCAAGGGTTTGTGTGTTGCAGGCGTGGTCCCCACGGTGGCAGTGCTGGGGAGGTATTATGAAACCTGAGAGAGGAAAGGACCAGAGAGATCCCTGGGTGACTAAAAAAGTTGTCCTTAGAGATTAAGATAGCTCTTACAAGAGTCCTGAATCCTCATAAAAGCAAGTTGTTGGAAGAAATAACCTGATCCCTAATTGCTCTCTGGCTTACTGTTTGGAGATGCTCCCAGATACGCTCTTAGCACCGTGATGTCATCTGTCACTGGGTCTATACCAGATGTCCAACAAGTCCCAACTCCTATGTCTTCCACTTTGGACCTCCATAACTAAGAACTATATAAATCTTTCTTTATAAAGTTGGCCTGTTGCCAGATGGTGGTGGTGCACATCTTTAATCCCAGAACTTGGAAGGCAGAAACACATGGGTCTCTGTGAGTTCAAGACCAGCCTGGTCTACAGAGCGAGTTCCAGAACAGGCTCTAAAGATACACAAAGAAACCCTGTCTCGGGGGGGAAAAAAGAAAAGAAAAGAAAAGAAAAGAAAAGAAAAGAAAAGAAAAGAAAAGATAAAGTCGGCCTATTTTAGATATTTGTTAACAGTAATGAAAACCCATTAATATATATGCTAGGAAGAATAACCAAAATAACCAATATTCTATAGATCAAACTGGTTAAAAGTAAGAAATATAAGATACCAAGTGCTTGCTAAAATGGGAACAAACAGAACTTTTATAGATTGCTGGTAGTACTATAAGGCTACATTTAATTTGAAAACAAGCCGGGTGGTGGTGGTACATGCTTTTAATCCCAGTACTTGGAAGGCAGAGGTGGGTAAATCTATATGAGTTTGAGGCCAGCCTGGTCTACAAAGTGAATTCCAGGACAAACAAAACCCAGCCTTGGGGGGAAAAATCAACTTGCAAACTGTTTGGCAAGAATTAATAAGGTTGAATGTTTTCCAAACCTATGACAAAATACTTCATTGCTAAGAAATATATAGATGTATCCATCGTTATAATTTGGATATGGAATGTACCTTAAAAGACCGTGTGTGTAGACTCTTTGGAGAAGTGACTCATTGAACCTCATCAATAGAACCTACAAAACCCTCACCTTGGTCCACCCACAGCAATGAAGCCAGTCAACCTGGACTCAGTGAAATGATGAGACGACATAGACCTTTCCTCCACTGACTTGTTTCCATCAAGTACTTTTGTCAGTGATATAAAGCTTACTACCACATACCAATAGGCATTAAAAATGGTGTTCAAGGGCTGGAGAGATGGCTCAGTGGTTAATAGCATTGCCTGCTCTTCCAAAGGTCCTGAGTTCAATTCCCAGAAACCACATGGTGGCTCACAACCATCTGTAATGAGGTCTGGCCTTCAGGCATACAGACAGAATATTGTATACATAATAAATAAATAAATATTTTAAAAAAAGAAAAAAATGGTGTTCAATCATCTAAAGCTGAAAAGAACCCTCTTGTCAACCCATAACCAAGTGGAGAAAATATTCACATATAGGAATACTATATCAGAATGAATAAATTATTTTCAAACTCATCATAGACAAATGCCGCAAATGAGATAGCAAGAAAAAGAACAGAAATCAAAAATACAAAAATAACACAAAATGTTAAAGAAATTATTGTGGCCACCTTTAGGATGGATTTAGTTGCCTACTAACCATCCTTCTCCAGTTCAAACAGAATGTGCATATATTCACCTAGGAACTCCCTTTGGCTTGACTATTCATCTAGTATGTCCTCTAACAATTGCTATGTGTTATGCATAGAGCACAAGATTTATTTTTTATT